ATTGTTAAACTCTAAGGTTATAATTATACTCTATTGTAGGTCAAGCAAAATTAATTTCAATAGAGTCTCAATATGTAACAGTAAAAGAAATATGGGATAAACTTTAGTTAAGTTATGAAAGAACGAACCAAGTAAAAGAGTCAAGATTTAATTTGCATTTTCATGATCATGAAATAATTAATATGAGTGGATATGGATATATCTCAAAAATGTCCACAAGATTTACAAATATTATGAATACATTGAAGTTGTTTGGCAAAGTCTATAGTTGGTATCTTCTCTTCCGTGTTTCAGTTTTCATATATTTCATTCTGAAAAAGAATGGTTAAATGATCTCAAATCTATTTTGGCTTTCATATTTCTTCAAAACAGGTCTTTATTTTTTTGAGAAAATCCAAAATACTCTTGAGTCTTTAACCTTGACTATATTGCACGGTTACCAAATCTGTTATGCTTTCATTTACTTATTTTATATTCTCTTAAAACCTGCTCATTCGCTCTTTTAAGCTTTTGGGACTTTGGATTCAATTTATGATATTATTATTGTTATTATTCATTTCTCAAAATCTGATTATTCTTCTTCCAAAGGTACTTTAAACATGTGTTCAGAAATTAACAATTGTGGCGTTATTTCATTTTCTAGATTTCTTTAGTGTGTTTGAACTTTGAAAATTCAAAATCTTTAGTTCTTCAAGCATAAATGTCCTCTATTTGGTTTTAAAATTTATTCTGACACTTTGACTTCATGAATCCAAAATTTCTTAGTGTCATGATTTCTCAAACTTGATATAACATGTTTTTTGGCTTATTTTTGTACTTCCAAGTTTAGTGTTTGGGGTTTCATGATCTGGGGCTATATGTTCTTAAAACAAAAAAATAGTTTGTTACCTGCAATTTTTGGGAATACTACTTTATGATAATCATTTTTTCTCTTTAAATTTAGGTTTTTATGTTTCTTTCTTTCTTCTTTTTGCTAAAAAATGATGCTATTTGGTAATGAAATAAATAGAAAATTTATGTATTTATGAGGATCTAGGCTCAAATGAGGTTATTTTGGGCTTTATTCTCTGTTGCATTCACTTAAATGTTTCAAATGCATGCTTAATAGAAATTGTGTTGTTTCATGTCCATATTCACTCTATGGTTTTAGGAGGTTGCTCTGATGTTGTTTAAATTAGAAAAATAATGAGATGCATGTTGTTTGGAAGTAAAAAAATAAAGATGAAGGACTGTTTTAATTTGTGGGCATTAATTGTTTTAATTTTTGCATAAAAACAAATAAAGTATTTTGTTAAACTCTTTGGGACTAATATGAATGAAAAGACATGGGATAGTTTTGTGTTTGTTTTATACATGATTAATAACAATAAAAAAAAATTAGAATTTAAAGAATAAAATAGGATGATGTACTCTTTGGTGAATATTTAAATTAATGTTATTTTAATTCTACTTTTTACTTCTAACATAATTTATTTATATAGTTGTATATTTTTAGTTTACTTATTTTATTTCATGCACATTTCCTCTTAGTCATTTTAAAATTTATACCATTAGGTGGATGCTCTATCTAGTTAAACTTCTAAGGATTTAGTTTCTCTTTATTAGGTTAGTGCATATTTTAGTCTTAATTTCTACTTCTTAAATTCAGTCATCTACACTACTTTATGGAATAAAAGCTAATTGGACAAGGACTGGCCTTAGTTTGTCTTCAAACTAAATATGTGTTTGATCTCTTGAAGCGAATTGGTAGGATCTATACCAAGATTTATCTCACACTAATGAGCAATAGTCCATAATTGACCAAAACTTTTGGACTCCTATTTTGAATCTTGAGTTATGTTGATAAATGGTTTGTTTTTTTTTTTTTATAATATGTTATATTATGATACTAGAAATTATTTTCTTCATTAATAGAC